CCTTCCCTCATCATGTCTCTTCCCCCCCCCCCCCCCAAAGGATGCAGAGAATTAGAGCACAACTTCCTCCCCGTGAGACAGCTTGTAAACTATATGATCATTAAAGCCAGGAGCCGGATCATCCATCATAACTCCCTCCTCTCCAGGACACTGTTTCTACACCGTGGTTTCAGTAAATGACTCTTCTTCTGTCCCTCCTGTCAGCAGAAAGTGTTGATGTTCATGTTGAGTAAACACAGCTTAGTCTCAAGGGTTTGCGATTACGCCGGATCGTTATTTTTACTACTAGAATCAGTGTTTCTTGAGCAAAGTGTTATTTCATTACAAATATGTTTTAATTGAGAGAAAACAGTTTCAACAATATACATCTCAGATTTACTCATTTTTAAGCTGTTCTGTGGGGTAGGTAATTTTGGAGAAACCAGCTCGAGTGCGCTAGAATTTGAAAATACACAGCCGGAAAAAATCTGCCACTTCCTTCCAGAGCCCCTCCTCCAACACACACCAACGCGCATATGACCAATGAGGGCACGAGATAAGTTTGTGCACAGATGGAAGGCTGACAGGCAGGTAGGCCATCCAATCATTTTAGCCGGCTCAAATGATTGGTCGTGCTTTTTACAGTACTACGGCTTCCACAGATGAATTTTAATGGATTTTTTGTCAAAGCACTTAAGATATTCATTGCTATCGGGATGTTAAGAGCATTCCATGGAATATAACAAAAAGTGTATCTCGAGCCGGTTTCTCAAACTTACCTACCCCACCTTTAATGTAATCATGTTAACATTTGTGGCTTTAAGTGGCCACTCTTTCAGAAATGCTGCAGAAAAGGATCAACTTTATTTATAATTAATTATAAAATATATATTTCCGGGTTTGTATCTCCTTCCAACAGCTGTATCGCTTTTACATAATAGAGGCGAAGTCCCGCCCATCTACTTCCGACCCATGGGACCTTATTTCGGAAAAAGTATGTATTGAAGTCAAAGATTATCTTTCGATCCCGTTTGAATTGTGCCACGAATTACACATATGATGTTTGTCAATCTTAAAAAATCATTTCCATGTAAAAAAGTCACAGTTTGTCGTAAAACTGTTGAAATATAAGACTATGAAAAATACGCAACTAGAAAGACTACAAATCCCAGAATCCCGGTCCCGCATGATGGCTCTTATGAACCGACTAACTCCCCTTGTGTGTGTGTACAGCTCTCAACATGCCCAGACTTGGAGTGATTTTCACCTCTTTTAATACTTTCCGCCTCATTCTGAAAGAAAGAAGTGAAATGTGCCAACGTGACGGCCGTCTTGGTGTGTGGTGCGAGACGGGAGATGTAGTTCATTGAGCGGTTTCACACAAAAAAAAGTGTTACTTCACAGTTTTACGACACATTTTTATTTTTTTGACTTGTAAAATTATCTTTTAAATTGACAAACATATGTGTAATTCGTGGCTCAATTCAAACGGGATCGAAAGATAATCTTTCTCTCCCCATTGACTTCAATACATCATTTTTCCGAAATAAGGTCCCATGGAGCTCCCCCGGAAAGGGAGGGACTTCGCCTCTCTATAGTAAATCGGACAATAACGCATACTTTTTGCAGCAATTAGCCAGGTGTCTTTCGTCATCACAAGTGCAACAGAATTTCCAATCCAAATGATCACAGTTTTGGTAAAAAATATATTTTTTCAACTATTTTCTCAACTTAGCCCAAAGCATTCACTCTTACTTATGAAATATATTTGAACTTTTTAACCCATTTTACACATGAACAGTGAATTAACAGTGATACAACGCACACCAGCATAGATTTAACAAGGCCTAGCTTAAATGCCTAGCTTAAATGCTAAACAAAATAAGTTAACCAAGCAGTCTATATTACTTTAAAAAAGATAATTACCTTAAACAGAGGGGCATGAATACCAACACACATCAGCACGAGACACCTGCAGGAGTGCCAAGGCATTACTAGCAGATCATCGCACAATTAACCCCACACAGAGGAGCAAAACCCCTTTTGTTTCAGGTTAATTAGCAGTTTTCAGCCAGCTATTTCATGCATTAACGCCACCTACTGGCCTGGAGTGAGGAGCTGTTGAAAATGTTCACTATTATTTCTGTTGATTTTAAGGCATTAATTAGAATATTGCATGCTTTTTCTGATGTCTTTTCTGGCAAATGTCCCCATGTAATACTCTGTTTCTCGATCTGTGTCACATGTACTCTGTTTAAATCAATGCATTAGCTGCATTGTCTCTAAATTGACCAAACTGAGCATATAAAACAACTTAAAATCAAATAACATGTTACTGAGAAGTGACAGAAATGAACCTTTCTGAAGAAAAATACATCTTAAAATTGGATTAGGCTTGTTGGTCACACAAAGCCTATGTGTGCAGTTTGTAAAAACAAAACAGCATTACATTTGGATTCCTTGTCACTTCTGTTTACACGGTTTAGTTTGCTACTAACCAGACAGATTGTTTATATAACCAGACATAATATTGGAAGTCAACTTTTCCAGTATGAACAAAATGTATATTTGTTCGGTCAAAAGCTTCTAACAGTGAGGCCTTTGGATAATCCAGAAGAACAAGGAAACACAAGTTATGGAAACACGTTACGCTATTTTTCATTTCCATTGACACTTATATTGGTCAGAAGAACATCTCAGAAACAATCTCAAACACTGTATTTCTTGGCTGAAAAACCACTACCTGTCATATTGTAGCATTTCAACATGAACAGACATTTCCTGCATTTGGGTGAATAAGCTGGAAAGTGGATATTTGGATCCGAGTGACTCACTCTCTCCACCTCACATCCTCCAGCAGGCAGACGTCCACCTCACTGAGAACCACTGTTTCCTCCACCTCACTGAGAACCACTGTTTCCTCCTCGCTGTTCCAGTTCGGAAAAAGAAGGAAAAACTTTCCAGCGTTTTTGTTTGCAGGAATGAGACGCTGTTTGTCATTAGGGGAACGTTTCTTCAACCCAAAATGTCAAACGTTGGCTTAAAAGCATTTTGACTTTTGAGTAAACGTGACAAACAGTACAAGATAAATCAGATAAGATAATCCTTTATAAATCCCACTACAGGAAATTTTACTTCTATCTAATTTACTTATTTCTACATTTTACTTTTTTCACTTGCACCATTCTCTTTCACCATTTTTGGAATGTATTGTATTTCTTGAGTATATTGTACTGTTAAAACTACTCTTTAATCTATAAAGCATCTGACAACAAAGCTTTTGAATCTTGAGTCTATAGTTCAGTTACTTTGAGTATGAAATTGTGCACTGGTAATATCATTTCACACTTATTTTGGTTTCACAAAGCCATACCAAATGTCCCTTTTTGTTCTCCTTTTATTTCTGTTTGGTGACACAGGATTTATTTAGGACATTTACTAATTCTTTCCTTTCAGCCTGAATAACTGCTTTTCTTCATTTGATCTGCAGTTGATGCCAGAGGCTTTCCAACAGCCTCGAAAAGCTTTAAACAATGAATACGCTGTGTTTGAACGTGTGTTTTAGATGTGTGTGAGGTCGGCAATAAGATGCTGCTTCTATAGTCAGATAGAGATTGCATCCATTCAGATGACAGACGAGGAAGTGAAACCTCCTGAGACCCTGACATACAGGTGTGTGTGTGTGTGTGTGTGTGTGTGTGTGTGTGTGTGTGTGTAGGTGTATGTATGTGTGCGTGCGTGTCTGCGTGCATGTCTGCGTGCGTGTGTGTGTGTGTGTCTTGTCAATTTCCGAGAACTGAAGCTCGGTTTATCATCCTGTCTTCCTGGCAGCGGTGAGTCAGGAGTGATGATCACCTGCAGCACTCAAATTATAGGAGATAGGCCTACTTTCCGAAATGAAATAGAAAATAAAGATACACTGGTTCAGAAAGGGCTATTTTGATTTCTAATTTCCACTTACACTACTAAACACAATATACTGTATTTGCAATATATACATAATCAGTACATGTGGAGTCTCTGTAGTCTGTTCTAAAGCACACTGCTGCCCTCTGCTGTTTAAATGTGTTCACTGCATGAGAGAAAACAACATTTAGAGATTTGAATGCAGTTCTTTTTATGAGAAACTACTTATCTTCTTTCTTTATAACATATGTAACTCTTTATATGGGTCAGTAACAATACAATTCCTCCAAAACAAGTAATCACTAGTTTTATACATTGCCAGAAAAAATCGCGTTAGCATCTTTTTGTTTTCATGTAAAACAGAGCATGTTCACCTATCTCAAAATCTTCAAAATAAATCAATCAGAGAAGAAAAAAATCCTCCTATGCTTAAACTATTTACATGTAGGGTGTGATAGTCTTTCAAAAGTAGAAATTGCTTTGTTGTAAGGCATCACATGCCAAAATAAAGATATTTTTAGTTGGTTTCAAAATTAGTATATGAAAACCAGGGTTCATACACTTTTTCACCAATGATTTTCAATGACTTCTCCATGACCTTTACCTAATTTTCCATGACCAAAAAAAGTACTCTCTCAGCGGTACCACTGAAAATGGTTTATTTTAACATGGAACAGGAAAATAAGGTCTGCATATGAAACATGTTGGTCCTATCTAAAACAAATCAAATAGTAGGCTTACTAGCTTCTACAGGCTAAAGCCACTAAAATCTCTCACCAGCAAAATACCTCGACAGTTAAATGCCATTTTAAGTTTCATTACTATACGGTACAGTATTTATTATCATTATAGTATTACTATTTTGGCGATTAGCTAAAATATAAATTATATTTGATGCAACTTTAGTTACATTTCCATGACTTTTCCAAAACTTTGGGAAAAATATTGTTTTCCATAACTTTTCCAGGGCCTGGAATTAGCATTTTGAATTTCCATGACTTTTCCAGGTTTTTAATGACCGTAAGAACCCTGGAAAGTAAAATAATACTGACGGTTTACAGAAAAATATGACTATTATAAAATATACATACAACAAAATGGATGAACAAACTGTCTTAACGCTTACTTCACATAATTTATTTGGTTCACAATAAAAATGCATAGAACAGTATATACAGAAACAGCAAATATAACTTTATTGAAATAATCAAGTCATTCTAGGTATAAAAAAAAAAAAAGCGATCACACTGAACGTGGATGAATCTTACACTTACAGTACAAACAAACATCAGGCACAGATTTGGTATTCACCTCGGACTAGTGCAGGTGTAACACGGAAACGCTTTATTCAATTACAAGTCCTCTGAACACTTGTAAATATGCGTTAATGGTTTTTAAAGAAAGGATTTAGCCAAAGTTCTTCAAAAGGATGGACTTGAGATAAATCCTGACTAATTAAAAACACTTTATAGCATGATAATAACTTCTTCTTTTGATGGATATTTCCCCTAATTTGCAATTTTGTCGATTTACAATTCCCTGTCGTGTCGAGTAACACATCACCCTCCACAATCCTGGAGCTTCAGTTACATTTGTATGCACATAGATGGTAATATGTCGTTTTATTATACACTTCGCTTACTGAAACAACAGCTACAGAAGCTCAACAAAATGACATCCTGGTTGCTGAGCCCAGAGAAACACTGAGTGTGTATAAACAGGAAGAAGGTCCTTCAAATGAAACTGTGGGAAGCTAAATTCCAAACGAAAAGCGCAGTGACTGATAAATGTTGAATATCAACATTCAAAAAAAAAAAAAAAGTGTCAGACTGTGAAACATACACAACACGTTTCTAGGAATGACCTCTACAGCCAATCATCAGACAGAAGCAACATTTATGAAGTGATGATGACTTTTAAAAGCATGTAAACATTTCAAGTAGCCACAAACTGTGTGCAGCAGAATGTCATCTATTACTGTGTGTGTGTGTGAAGAGTCATTTAAGCCTTCAGTCTGTTCTTAGCCCCCGTTTGCACTCGTTACCTTTTTGTGTTTCTTTAATCCTACATTGTGTAAGGACTGGAGTACCAGTTATGAAACACAACCCAAATTACAAAAATAACCTTTAATAACCTCACCTGTGATTGTCTTAACTTCTTGTAAAGCCAAACCCAAATGTCTGACAACGACATAGGAAAAAAATAACACAGAAATGGAGACATACGTTGCTCTAAATGATCATTTGGAGATACAGAAGAGTCGAAAATAGACATAATGAATGTGTTTCTTGAACATGATATGCATGAAATAGGTCTAGCACTCCAGTTTTGGGTCATGGAGTTGATCAGTGTGTGTAAAGCTAATAGTCTTACATGTTCACCCTCCTGACCAGCAGGGGGCGCTCTAACAGAGGCCGAGGATCTAAAGTGTTTCCACCAGATTCACACTGAAGGTCATAGGTCAGGTCTAGGGACGTTTGGAGAAGAAATACTGAAGAAAATCCACTTTTTTTAACTGAAATAAATCAGAGGATTGGCTTTAAATATGTGTACAGACATACATTCATGTGACAGATCTCTCTGACGTGTTTGAGAACGGAAAGAAGCATCTCCTTCACTGAGATATCTAAAAATGTGCATCTGAAACCTCTCACTGACTCTGTTTCACATACAGCTGAAAATACGTAACAGATGCCGCTAAATATGTGCAGCACTTCTCTTATTAAAGACTGTACAGTAGTGAGCCTTAATATAATATCCACCATTTTGAACATTCACCAACAACACGAAGACAACAAGACATCATGACAGATGACATGACAGATATGTAACATTTTAAAATGAAGCCTTTAAATGATCAGTGAACATTGCAGAGACTTGGACATGATGTTAAGCCTCTGATTCTCTGACATTAAAGCAACATTTACCAGCACTCAACACTTCCCTCGCAGACACTCAGGAGTTAAAGCGAGTATTTCAGACAGACGCTCAGCCGTGTGAAGAAAAAAGCACTTAGGGGTGCATATGAGCGCTTTGTCCTTTTGTGTAAAATGAGAACCTGAAGCAGAATTAATCAGCATTTGGATTTCAAAACCAAGCCCAGACCTGCTGAGCTGCACAGAGCCGGACTCACATTCCTGTTTCCTGAAAGCAAAGCGTGTATCCACTCCTCAAAACACACCGTTTTTTAAGCTCTATGGACTCATTGTTGCAACAGAAATGAGACACGGCTCAACATAATGGTTACAGGTATATCAAATACAGACTGAATCGTTTGGAGTTTACCGAAACGGAGAGTGGAGTTAAGGTAAATCAAACTAGTTTATGTAAATGAACAGTTTAGTTTGAGTTGAAGCGATCCACATGTAAATACTTTAGGGAGTGTGGATGGGAATAGCAGCACAAACTAATCCTCCAGCAACAGTTACTAGGACGTGTTCACCTCACACTCTTCTCCAGCAATAAACATGACAAAAGTAACTTAAGCTTCAGTCTTATTTACCTTTTGAAATGTTTATACAGTCGAGAGTGCTGAAAACAGGCCAGTGTGTTTTCCACTCGGGTGGACACATCCTAGCTCTTCGTCTCCTTATTCATATAATACAGCATCGAGACGGCCCGTCACGGAGCAGACGCACAGTGTTAAAGCTTTACAAAGGCCATATAAATAGTTGCGATATAAATATGTGCACGCAGAGAAAGACGCGGTCACTTTTGGTGAAGCTCGTTTCGACAGTGAAGCAGGGTTAGGGTCTACGTAAGCCTGACATCGAGTCAAAATACTTTGGTGGCATCACATCCTTCCTCTTCACTAGAGGCATCGACTTTTAACCATGTGACCATTTTAATAACATCTGAACTTAAAGCTGCCAACTCTTAAGTCGTGACCCTGTTCAAAATTAAATAATTGTCTTTGAACCATCCTCAAAATGTCTTTTTAATATCATCACTGGCAGTTGAGGTCGGGGCTGCTGAGCCAGGCCCAGATCTGGATCATCTCCTGCGGGGTCCGGGGGTGAACCAGCATTAAGCTCTTGTAGGCGCAAGGGTTCGAGCGGTACTTCTCCTCTATGTTAAAGGTCCTGAAGCCTTTGTGCTTCTCGGGGGCCAGCCCTAGTTTCCTCAGACACATCCCCGTGTAGACGTCGTCTATCGGGTACAGCGCCACGTGCTGCGAGGCGTTGTGTAAGCGAGCAGCGATGTCCCCGGAGTACAGGTACCCCCCCCCTCCTGCGTACGGAGGATACATCCCCACATACATGCTCTCCGGGATAAAGTATTTCACCTTCTTGTCCCGGTGCGGCCCAGCGTTTGTGATCACGTCGCCCACAAACAGGTCCCTGGCTTTGGGCTCCGAGAGGCCCTTGAGGAAGTCCAGGATGCGGAAAGTGTTGACGAAGACGTCGTCGTCTCCTTTGAAGATGAACTTGGCCCCGGGGCAGCGCGCCTGGATCCACTCCAGGAACAGCACCTCTTTGACGGTCAGGTTGAAGAAGGAGTCCCTGTAATCCCACTGGATGATGTCTTTGTGGTGGGTGCTCTCGTAGCGCAGCATCTCGGAGAGGTCCGGGTGGTGGTCCCCCGCCGTGGCGTTGCCCAGGAGGAAGATGGTCACCACCGTCTGATTGGCTATCAGCCCGGCCCGGCCCCAGGACTGACGGATGGCCTGTCGGCGGTCGAAGTGCGGCGCTAAGGACTTGACGGCCAGCAGCAGGAAGGGCGGCTGCTTACAGACGGCGGGCTGGTCCACCATCAGAGGGTAGGAGCGGCAGTGCATGTAGAGCAGGAAGTCCTTGAAGCGCCCCGGCAGGGAGTTGTAGTCCTTCACCTGCGTGGTCACCCTGATGTTAGGCTGGCAGGGGTCCGAGGTCAACCCGGTCTCATTTAACCACTCAGGTGTGTCGGCGAAGCTGTAGTTGGCCACCAGGACCGGGTTGTTCTGGAGGTCCAAGACCTGCTGCTGCCGGTTCCAGTACGCAGCGCTGGGAGCCAGTTTGCTCCAGAAGGGTTTGGAGGGGATTTTGACTTTGTTGCGGTCGTTTTTGTCCTGGTTGCTCTGTCGGGAGATGATGATGAAGATGAAGAGGTTGACCATCATCACCGTCACCAGAAGCTTCAACCTCCTCCACAGCAGCGCCATGACAGAGTCCTGCACCCGTCACCACCTGAGACACAGAAAGATAAAGAAGATACTTTGGGTTAGGGCTGTGCAATTAATCGTATTTGAATCGCAATTACGATTTTGGCCTGCCACAATTACGAAAACAACATAATCGAACAAAAACAATTCTTTTGCTTTGCTAGGTTGCGACAGTGCACGGCAACATATTTGATCTAATTCATTTTGGTCTCATTTATTTGTATTTATCATATTTATATATGTTTAGTAGCTTGTTGAAGTGCGCTCCAAAATATTTGTTGATCTTGTTTATTGGTATTTATTATTTTGATATTATTTATTTAAATGTATGATTTATTTTTGTATTGGTTTTTCAGTTGAATTATACGTTCAGGGTAATCAACAGTTAAAAAGATACTGTTCAAATTATTATTTGTATTTGTTTTAAAGTTCAATAAATGGATTTTTTCAAAGTCAATGAATAATCGTATTTAATAATCGTGATATCAATTATTGACCCAAATAATCGTGATTATGATTTTTGCCATAATCGCACAGCCCTACTTTGGGTCACTAGCTCGCTGCATTAAACCATATCAAGGTGGCTTCATAACCTGGGAGGACTTTTGTCTGGTCTCTCGTGGACAAAATGGACTCTTTACTGCGTAGAAGTAGTATTTAAAGTTTGTGTGGTTATACATACAAGTTTCAAATGCTTTTTTATTACATGCCATACGGGGAGCTGCTTTCTGTCTGTCTGTGTTGGTCCTTAAATTAAACAGTTTGGTTACTGGTTGTATTGCGCTTCTTAGAAATAACATATGCACCAGATTAGATTTTTGAAAAATAAGATCAATAAAAAAAGACTAACACTTCAGAATACACAAGGTATTAACGTAACACAAACACAACAGCAGGTTGACGGTGCAAATGCATGGAAAGCAGCTGCTGACCTGAACAAGCAAACAAATCAAATCAAATCATTTGAATAATATAAGTCATGGCAAGGAGAGGACGACTGTTTTACAAGAGGTAACAATGACCTGTCTCTCCTAAGATTTACAATGCAAAGAGTTTGCATGAATAACTTTCTTTACAGCATCAACAATAAGTCCATTTGATGACTTCCTTTTAACCAACGGGAGTACAGTCACAGCGCTGTGTCACATTAACTATCAGTGAAGACCTGTTTGTAGAAGATATTTCATGCATCCACGCCTTTTAGGAGCTTGGTCAGTCTTGACAGGAATCTCTGATGGGAAAATCGATGTTCAGGGTAATGATCATGTGCTTTCCATTTCAGGGAAAGTCTCCTCTGTTTGTATGGCCACTCAGTCATGGCTGGAGCGATGTGGAAGTGTGCAGTTTCACCACTTATCTCTTGGAGAACGGAAGTAGGGAAAATGTGTTTTAACCACAAGACCACTGTGACACAGAGTCATGAGGATGCACTGACACATCGATTAAAAATGCTGGGGGGAAACTAAGGAAGAGACTAAATATCTGGAAATCAACTTCATATTTTCTCTAACAGGAGCGAGTTCGTCTCAAATACACGTCAGACAGGTGATGGTTGGGGTTAAACCTGCTAACCACGAGTTAGATCACAAATATTCTGTCCAGTATTTCTGCAATACAATCCCACTAACTTGTTGTTTTTGGTCAAGTTAACCAATTAAAACACACTGTGTAACAATTTGTGCTCCCAAGTGAAATTTAGATTTCCATTTTGTGGAAGTTTTCCCCTAACCCTAACCCTTTGCCAAACACGCACCATACAAATATATACAAATAACAATAAATCCGTTAAATCGTCTGGTAGAAAAGGGGACTTTTCCTCATTATACTATATCTAGTTGTTGGACACGCATGACTTCCGTTTGCAATATATTTAATAGCATTTCAGAAAGAACACCCATGCTCCCAAAGACTAAATATAGCGTGATAAGAAAATGGCTGCATCTCAGAAACTACAAGAAGCCCCATGAAGTGTTGCAAAAATATGTAATATGGAAGACATTCAATAAACACAATATAAGCTTTTATTTATCACTTTCAAAAGTACGTCTGTTCAAGATTTCAAGACTTTAGACCAATCGGAATAAACGTCTTTATTTATTGTAAATATAGTATTGAGGCACAAATGGGTTATTCCTTAAACTCCCATCTAAACCAACAATAGTCCAGTTATCCAGTAGGACATGTGCACCGACAGACAGTTATCACAACCATTACAGATGAACTGGGAGGTCAAGCTACAGTCTAAACTAACTACACTAAAACAATTAGTATAATTATCTACCATAATAAAAGTTATACTGTAACCTATACTGATGTCAAGTCATTTGCATTACAACTGCAGCATACTGCCATGTATCTTTTGTTTTAGGCATGCACCATGTTTACTTAATAAAATGGTTGATAGACAGTTTCAATATCATTTGAGGATGTATTGTCACCTTTGTTTCCCCTTTTTGGCAGATTCAAGTGGTCAAAAAAAAGGAAATGAGGACAGCATGCGAGCAGAGAGTCCGGACAAACAATACAGCCTTTCAGGAGGTGGGGGTCTGCCTCAGGTTTCTGTTTGGCAGGCGCACACATCCACCGACTACATTCTTTTCTCCTCTTACTAAAAATGTCTGTATTCTGCCTCATTTCCTTTATTTTCTGAGCCTCCCATTCCACGTTTCTTTCCTCTTGTTCATGCTTCCACCGAGACTACATTTGCAGAAGCCACTCGTAGGGATATCATTCAGTCATTGATAGACAACATCATTGAAATTATTTCGGTAATAACCTTTCTAGGCCAGCAATCAGACGTTAAACGAGACACGATTATTAAAACAAACTGATAGCCGTCAGAAGGCAGGAAACAAATCGGAGTGTGAGAAAACAGAAAACAATGGCTGTGGCAGGTAAAAAAGGTGTGTGTGTGTGTGTGTGTGCATCTGAGTTTCAGCAGAGGTTTCAGGGTTCTGACACATTTCAAAGATGAAGTGAAATTTGTGATGTTTTCTTGAACACAAAAACAACCATCTTCACACATATTTAATCTAGTTATATACTTTCTTGTCTTTTAATTGTTATTGTACAATGCCATGTCTTTTTATGCTGCTGCAACACAAAAATGTCCCAGATTGGGATCAATAAAGTTCTATCTTATGATCACTATGACCACAACGCCCTACTTTCACTTTCACATTTTAATTGTGAGGATATCATGTATAAACAACATCTTGAAACCAGAGAAAACTAAAAAACGACATCCGACTGGTGATAGAAATATATGATGGATGGTGGTAAGGTGCAGCTTTTGCTCTGACTGTCAGCCAACATGCCAGAGGGCGAGTTATGAAAGACAAAAATGTCTCAGCATCTGGGAGATATTATAGTCATACATATCGCATTTTCTGTTATTTATTTTGTTACTTCTTGACCCTTCCCAAGTCAAATCCTTGTTAGCAAAAAAGAAAAAGATTGCAGTCATGATAGCAACCCTGTGATACGTGCAGAATGATGCTAAATGCTAACATGCTCACAATGACAATGCTAACATACTGATGTTGCCATGTTACTAAAGCATGTTATCTTGCTGATATTTGCAAATTGGTACAAAGTACAGCTGATGCTCGGAAATTAATGTGTCAAGCTAATTGCTATCAATCCATCCGAAACTTGTTCAAACTATTCACTTAAAATCACAAACCATATGGTGGCGCTACAGGAAAAGTCAGGATCATTAAAAACCTCATTGTTCTGCAATCCATCCAATACTGGGATATTTCAGTCTGATGTAAGGTTACAACATGACGATTAGTAGTTAGACGAGTATGTATTAAAAAGTATTGAATAAAGAACAGTATTTAAAACTTCCAGGAGCCTTAAAGTTAGGGTAGGTACATTTGAGAAACCGACTCGAGATCGCTAGAATTTGAAAATACACAACCGGAAAAAATCTGCCACTTCCTTATAGAGCCCCTCCTCCAACACACACGAACGTGCACATGACCAATGAGGGCACGAGATAGGTTTGTGCCCCGATGGAAGGCTGACAGGCAGGTAGGCCATCCAGTTATTTTAGCCGGGCCGGCTCAGATGATTGGTCGTGCTTTTTACAGTACTACGGCTTCCACAGATGACATTTTTTTATGGATTTTTTGTCAAAGCACTTAAGATATTCATTGCTATCGGGATGTTAAGAGCATTCCATGGAATATAACACAAAGTGTATCTCGAGCCGGTTTCTCAAACTTACCTACCTTACCTTTAAGGGAGCCATATAGAAATATATACTATCATGAATATATAAAAACAACAAGCAGGGAATCATATTGCAGAGAAAATTGGTAGTTTTTGCTTGAAAATGACTGAAATGATTAATCCATGAAACAAAAAGATGTTGATTCATTATTGTTCCTTCTACAAATGGATAAATTGGCAAAACACTTTTGGCGGACCAACTCATTGACATTGGAAATCTCTGATTGTGACTACTATTAAAAGTCTAAAAAAGGAAAACAAGTTACATGAAACACAACAGCTTACAGAGCTTCATATGCTGTGCCTATATGCTAACATTTCTACTGAAAATGTTGCTTAGATTTTGGTATACACATGTATAATTGACTCATGCTTCAGAGTGTTTATCTTCCTCTGCACCGCTGCACGTTCACATCCTGCCTCTGTATCATGTATCTCTCTCTCTCTCCTAGCAACAGGTCTGCACTGCTGAGCCTGTTTGCTCTCTTTCCTCCCTATCATCCCCCTCTCCTCCTCTTCTCTTAAATGTTGCTCACATTTACATGCAAACAGAGAGGTCCCCACAGCACCCAGAAGGTATATCATATACGGTTATATGTATGACAAAAAGGAAAAAGGAACAGCACAGACAGCCTCCTTTCTTTTCCTAATGGATGGTTACTCTTCCCTCTCCTCTGCATCCCCGTACAAACAAGGAGACTTCTGGGAAATGAGTGGGTAGGGGGGGTAATTGTGAAGAAGGAACAACATGTTGACAAGACCACAGCTTCCCGACGTCTAATTAAGCATCAGTCGAGCAGCGCTAAACATACACCTACCTGCATCAGCCAGGACATCTGCTGTCTCAGTGCTGACAATACATCTAACACTGATTCAGGTACGTTTACTTTGTTTGAGAAGACGGTAAACATCTGTGTTTGGATCAAGATGTTGGAAACTATTGCAGACTCGTTTTAGTTTTAATTCCATAAAACAGAGCAGATATAAAACTGTTAAACCCCTGAAGTGTCATCATTCAAATATGATACACTGTTCATGTGTTTATCTGTTTATAGTCCCTATTTCCTTATATGTATACTACACTTACAGTATACTGAGTGTTAAAGTACTGCGATAACATATTAGATTAGATATTCTTTATTGATCCCATATTAGGTTTTTATTTGAGCAGCACGAAACAGAGCTTGCACATACATAAATAAATAAATACGTTTATTGTATTTTGCATTGTTGGAGGATCCTGACTAGCCATTGTGCGCATACGACAAATAAAGCCTTTTAATCTTTGACTGAATCAACCCCCCTCACACAAAGTCAACGTGTTTTCCCGCCATTATTCAAATGCAAACTGTTTCGATGCTGCTGTAGTTTCTGTGGTTTTCTAGTTGCAACTTTTGCCAAAAACAAAAACTATGCATCAGTAGTAACCACATTAACCTTAGTACTGTAGTTACGTGAAGTACCTCATGATTCTACTCAAGCACTCCCATTTCCTGCCAGGATTCAATTTGTCTAATATATAAATGACTAGTAAACAATTTAATCAAGAATGATCATCCAGTATCATTAGTTGAATTATGAATATAGCAGTCTAATGCGTCATGCAGGCCTTGTGTGATGCTTAACAATATATTCCTGGCTTATACCAACCTTCACAATGGACTGAACTTAATGTAAAATACTTAATACAAAAGGAAATATGCCACTTCATTCTACCAGACAAAGTTCATGTTTTCAATTCATTTTCTAGCATGTTGTTCTCCTGACTATTCCACGACAATTGATCACAATAGATTAACGCGTGGAACTGAAAAGCTGTTATGGTGTAAAGTACGTTTCTCTAGTGTTTCAAAGTGAATATTCTTCTTGTTTTGGTTGAGGCAGGGGAAAATACGCTTAAACTCAGAGAGCAACAAACACAATTTGCACTGTGATGGTGTTTTTTCTTACAAATGCTAAACTAATCTTTAAAGAAAATCTGCTTGTATATATTATCAAGATCAGACAATTTGTAGAATTCATTGACAGTGCAGGTTAGACCCTGGCAGCAGCAAGAGAGCCAGGTGGACTTTGATGCAGATTTTCTGTTTCATTAATCATCAGAGACTGCAGCTCTGTGATTATATCTGGCAGTCATTGACCAGACAATGCCAGCCAGTGTTTGAACATTACTGTGTTCACCTGATAAAAGGTCCACTGAAGGGAGGCGTCTCACCCCATGGGGGATGGGTGTGAGAAAACAGAAAACAATGGCTGTGGCAGGTAAAAAAGGTATGTGTGTGTGCGTGTGCGTCGGAGTTTCAGCAGAGGTTTCATGGTTCTGACACATTTCAAAGATGGTAGAAGTGAAATGTGTGATGTTTTCTTGAACACAAAATCAACCATCTTCACACATATTGAATCTAATTATATGTACTTTATTTTACATTTAAATGTTTTGTCCCTAACCCTTTGTAAATGTTATTATAGTTTTTATACTGCTTCTACTGTTAAACAACATCACCATTACACACCAAAGCGAATTCCTTGCATGTGTAAACCTACTTGCCAAACATTGTTGAAATGTAATGTGACGTCTATGCATGTGTGAGAGTGTCACATTGTGTTTCTGAAGGTGTGAGTGAGGGTCTTACCTGTGCAGGTTCGGGGGTTTCCTCCGCTTGTGTCGTCTTGGCTCCTCTCAGCTCTTACCCCATTCTTTGTCCCGCCCTCTTGAGAACAGCAGCCAATGGGGAGGGAGGATCAGGGAGGGAGGCAGGTGAGAAGGGAGGGAGGGGGAGGTTCAAACCTGAAACCAGATATAAAAAAAAAAAACTGTGTGTCAACAGCTGAGAGGAGCATGGCTAAAGGAGAATACTAACAGCTAGCCTATGCAACATATTCACTTTTGGCTGGCAGAGAAGTCAAAGCTTCATATGTTTTGTTAACAGGTCTCCAGTCTGTTTTTCTCTTTCAGTAACAGAGCGGATGGTTAAGTAACCGATCACAATCTAGTTCCACTCTCCATTACAACTTAACTAGCCTAACCCAGGAGATGTCTCATGCTGATTAACTGTTTTGCAGTCCTGGTTAGACATCCACCTCCCAAATACTGACCTGGTTTCACAGGTTTGTTGTTCTGAGTTAAAGCAGTTTCACATCATATTATCTGGCCCTGAAAAGCAGGTTTTTCTAAACCCCCAGAGCGACTGCATGACACTGGGTTTCTCATTTACATAACGGTAAAGAAATCAGGTTAATACAGAAACTTCAATGGAGTTGGGCTGATAATAACATTTAAAACAAAAATGAATTTCCAGAGGTGGAATCAAGACAACAATACCTCAAGTTTTGCACAAAGGTATCATTCATCACACAAAGCCGTTTTTAGTGCACAGACATTTGAGCTCTCCCATGTCAGTTTCCCGCCCCAGGCTCAGGCGCCGTTTACACGAGGGCAAAACTGCTTGTATCTGCATAGTTTCTCTTGCGTATAGCCCTATTATTTACACGAGGCCGATAGAAACGGACCCCACAAACGATAACGGGTCCCGTTAAGCGGCAAAAAGAGAAATGTTTGTAGGCAGAGGACCGGCGTGTCCCAGAGGAGTGTTTGTAGAGAATATCTCTCTTTCTGAGCGCGTCCTCTCCACGGAGATGTGCTTCTTGGTCGGTCGATGCAATATCCATAGATTCGGTTTCTTTCAGTTAACTTCCCCGTTGCATTTATCCATATATTTACATGCTGAGGAAATTACTATATCCCGCTGAATACCAGCAATCGCCACACACACTGCTCCGGAGTCTTCTTCGCGGCTTTTGGTGTATTTTGTGGCGGAAGTTACAGCGCCACTTACAGTCCTGGCATATGTACTACAGCGTTTCCAGCGGTCTCGTTTGAACAGACACGTTAAATGAAACGAATGCATGTGATCGGAAGACTTTTTTGAATATGCATACTGTGCATAAACGCAAACGTTCCCGTGTGCACAACGCCTCAGACTCATGCAGACAAGCCGCTGCATGCTGCTCCGTCCTGCTGTCTGTCCAAAACAACGCCCATATCCCTGGAGAGCGTGACGATGACAAATGATAACTCCGATATTCCCGTTTGAAGACAAGAAAGTTATGAATGTCCTGTTCAGATTGTGTGTACTTGGCATGCATTTAAATGTTTTGTACATTTCCAATTTCTTGTAAATGTTTTTTTATAATTTATCTATATTCGTCTTTTTCTACACATCTTTTCTCTTTCTTTGTTTATGCACCATTACACACCGAAGCAAATTCCTCCTATGTATAAACCTACTTGGTAATAAACCTGATTGTAATATGCAGGTAGGAGTTGATTACAATTCAATAATGCGTCTTAAAAGTTCAAGTGCACCTATCGTGCTATTTTTAGCATAGGTCTCAGATATATAAAAATATATAAAAAACATGTCTATGAAGTGTTTTGCTCAAAATACCAGACAGATCACCCATTCTAGCCATGCCTCATATCCCTCTATTTCACTTCCTGTTTCAAAAGTGCTCATGCGGGACCCGGCAGCTACTGTCTAAACTAAATACTGCCGTGATGAAACGCCATATCATGGATTATCAAGGATTATTTCTAAAACAGTATGGAGCTCAAAGGCTTTCTCTCTTGCCGGTTATACCACAAGGTGAGTTCCTTTTTATTTCCTGCTTCTTCACACACATGCTCTCCAGTACAGGTTAGCTCTGAGTGTTAGCGATGCTAATGTAAACACCGACCATATTACGTCCAAAACAGTCGGGCATTGTTTCTGATAGCAACGTTTCTGATAGTGCCGTGGGTCCACATTTCAGATATTGCTAGTTACATCACTGAGTGGCCAAACACTGGGAACACATCGGTACATAGATAGGTAAAGAAATATATTCTATGATTTGTAGCGTTTGGTAAAGTCACTGAGGTGTAACGCTCCCTTTAAAACACACCGCTGGGGTAGTAAAACATTAAACCATTGTTTCCCCTGGTTAGATATGAGAGGTCAGCAGATAATGAGAACATATCACCTTTCACTCTGTGGCATTATTAACAAACAGTCGGAAATATTCACTTATGATTATCCAACAAAGTTAGAGCAAATATGAGCAGAGGAGTTCATAAACAATGGAATGTCTCTATAGTTTCTAAAGGGATTCACTGATACTCATCTTAATACGCTTTACTCTTCACTAGAGTTCATGCTTCTTTCCTTTATATAAGAAAAGTGCTTCCAACAGTCTGTTTGACCTGTTCAGAAACGTGGCTTTTACTTCTTAATTTCAAAGCACTATCTTTCTCATCTAATTGTTGTAGCATTTATTTTAAAGGATTGTATTTGTTTAAAAAGACCAAACATTTCTGCACACTGTCAATCAATTCATTCACAACAATTACATTACTCATATATCTGTCTCTATTCAGACTAAAGACTGGTCAATCCGGCAGAATGCCTTATTAGTTTATACTATGTCAAATAGTAGGATTGCTAGGATTGATGTGATTTAGAAACAGCATCACAATTACAGAGTTTCCATATCAATATCATTGTTTAGGTTTCAAAAAGTGACTAACCATATATCTATCAGAAATGTGAAATATACCAATTCAAAAAAATGCACTCAATAATTCACCAGCTCCTTTACATGCAACTGCCACAAAGAATGACAAATAAACCCTAAAAGGTGTGTGAGCTTTCCTGACTTTCTGAATTTATTTCTGGGTTGCCACAAGGCCCTTATAACCTATGGGAGAAAAACATATTAGGTAAACACAGCGGCTCCCAACTGGTAATAACGTTCAGGTTCAACATCATGTTAACTGCCATTTTATGTTTGCAGCTAAAAAAACAATGAATGAAGCAGATCTTAAAAGCTAAACCTGCTTAGTGTTAATTATTAGCCAAACTTCAATGGCAGCAGGACTCAGTCTTTTCCAAGGCTCCAGGTATAAAGGCATTTATATTATTATCAGTTAATATCATTATAATAGACTATTCCCTTTACTAATAAGTACACACACCCACTTCAGCTATACATCTGCCAACAGTAAGCAAAGAAGAAGAGGTCAACAGGGCATATGGAGCTAAAACAGGAACAGTGCTGTGTGTGTGTGTGCATGCGTGTGTGTGTGTGTGCGTGCGTGTGTGAGAGAGAGATATCAGATAGAAAGCCAGTCAACAAGCAAGTGTCCACCATAGAGGCCCCATTTAGGTTAAAGTTCAACCCTTAACCTCTTAAGCCCTGAGCCTGTTTTTCAGGTCTCAGGCTCGAAAATGACATTCCCAGAACAAATGACCATATCTTCCCTTCTAAAAGGGTTAAATTAATAATCTTTATTCTCAAAGTAATGATAAACCTGTGAGTTGGATGTAGAAAAGTCAGAATCAATATAGATGTTTTTTATTTTAAAGAAAATTCAGATTTTACATAGTAAAAAACTGTAAATTATAGTGTTTGTCCAAAAATTATTTTTTACTTATAGTGAAAACTACCCTTGGATGATGGGTTAGTAGACTAAAAGCTTTAGGAATCCAAAGTACAACATATAATAAGTACCCTGTATCAAGATTGATGCAAAACAAGTGAAATTTGACCTTTTAAGAGAGATTTAGCAAAAACCCCCACTTCTGGGGTCATTTGGGTGGATTTGACCTATCTCTGGCCCCCCTTGCTCGATTTTGATGAATGAAATCTCTTTATAACCGCTAGAGCCAATGGAATCGAGGGAAAGTTATATACACACCAAAACGTTAACAAATAAGGAGTGAGAGTGACGCGTTACCAAAACCGGAAGCTGCATACACTCTGGTGGCTACCATTAGCAGCTAACTTTTCCGCTCCGATTTTTACATAAAAAAATGGAATTATGGATTATAAATAATTTTTTTAAAAAGGCACAGGTACATTATCAACCTATGGATCAACAGTTGTAGATTTTTTTTTTTTCGTTTTAATGCCATTGAACACGTCTTTTGACCTAATTGACAGCTACGGTGAGACGATCTGCCGTAAAAGCTCCGTAAAGGTACGTGTTGTGATGTCTGTGTTTGCTTCCCCTGTCGCAAGTTCGGATCGCTCAGTGATGATACTATACCTAAATAATCAGTGGAGTCTCAGCTTTAATCGGCTATATTGTATGTGCAGCTACGATAAGTAATAAGGGTATCTTTATCTTGAATTGTGTGCCGCAGTGCGTTAGAATTTTTTCGCTCAGGGGTCATTTAGACGCTTCTTTTGAGACTTGTGTTTTGGTAAAAATGGTTCATATCTTCAGTTAGCTGAGATTCTTCCCGTTAATCTGGTGCTACACATTAATAGTTTCATAAATGTTAAGAAGCCCTGAGACATTATCTCGAAAACAAAACGGTGGGAGGGGTCCAATGGGGGGACCGCCGTGCTTAAGAGGTTAACTGGCAGAGGGGAATCAATCAATCAATCAATCATTGAGGAAAAGCATTGGTGGCGTTTGGATCTTGGTCTTAACTCGTGTTGGATAACAAGTCTTGGCTCTGAATTGTAACATATCTTGCCATGTTTTGATCCACTTCTCACATGTTCTACTTCTTGAATTCCACAGAGGAGTTGGATGTGACGTCCTCGGGGAGAAACAGAAATAAAAGGCACAAGCAGACGGTCACCCCATGCTAAAAATGCAACAGCTTGAAACACTGCCAGCTTTAATGTGTCCTAAAAATGGACCATGAATATCTACTGAGGAATCTTTGTTTACACACCCAGAGACATTAGAGTTTGAAGCTATGGCCAAAACGTTAAATGGATATTTGAATGCACTTC